TTTAACTAATATTCAGCTAAAAATATATTGCAAGTTTGCACTTTGCAAAAAATATTGTAGGTTGAAAGTAATCATTTAAACAAAATGCTGGACTTGATCCAAAAGGTAATGCAAGCAAACATACATATAGTGTGACAATGTCTTATAATAATTATTATTAAAATAATATATGCATTATTATTATTATTATTATTATTATTATTACTATTCTTATCATCATTATTATTATCATTGTTGTTGCTATTGGTTACTTCCTGTTCCTACTTCTTGTATTTCTTGTGACTCCACGTCAGTGTTCTGCAACAAAAAAAGAAAAGAAAAAAAATCTCTCTTAAGAACAACAAAACAAAGAGAGGATATAATAAAAAAAAAGTACAAAGGAATCTTCCTCCTCACCGGTACAGCTGAGCACCTGTTGACTCCGTCTCGGTCAAAGCCAGCCTTGTTCGCCAATGGTCCGGCTTCACCTGTCATGTCAAAACTGGAAGTGTTGGAGACAGAAAGAGAAGGAATAAAGACGTGAACCTCTTCCCAGTTACAGCACAGCTCACTTTCTGAGTGGGTGTCAGACAAGCTCTGATGTTCAGTCTGGCCTTTTGACATTTGGGATGTGTAGGCAGAGACCTGTTAGTAAAGTTAGTCCCGAAAGTGGAACATATAGCAGCAATAGGCCAAATTAAACAAGGTATGAAGGAGACTGGAAATTGGAAAATCACACAGATTTCTTCTCAGTCATAGTTACTATGTGAGAGCTCAGTGGCAGCGCAAGCAAGCAAGTCTCACCGTTTACTGGTTAGCAGTGGTTGTCCTTCAGTCTCATCATGTTCTGCACGATTACCAGCAGCACCTCCAGTGTCCAGTTCGCTGAAGATGAAGAAGCATTCACAGCCATTATCAAATGGGTGTGATAAACCCTCAGGGTAAGCTACTCAATTCTCTATAAAGTGGTGCATGTGTACGCATAAATGTTGCAAAACTGTCTGTTTTTTCCTCTTTATTGCCGTTGGTTACATCGTTTTATAAACGCATGATGGCATGCAGTTTAAATGTATGCTGGTTATTATTTTTGTATGTTACTAACACCTTTGATCATCATAACATGCAAACAGCCTGAACCGAAGCTATTACAGTCTCTTAAGATCTAAAACAAGAAACAAAAATGTGTTCTGCTTTGATTTAAATCATCACAGACTTACCTAATGTTTTGTCCTTTGTCGCTATTCACCCCTCCTGGTTCTTTCTTGAAGTTCCTGAAGGAGATAGGGGTTATGTAATAGTACACACTGAAGGGAAACATAAAAATATGATAGAAACTTGCACCCAACCAGAGACAAAAGTGTACCTGTTCATAGAGCGGTGATGAGAGATTCTGCTAACATTGTGGGTACTGATGTCTCCACTGCAAAACAAATAATAGATAAGGATGCCACAAGAAAAAACAACATTTACTTGACATAAACCTCAAGAACAAAATAGGCTCTAGGCACAATAACAAAAAAAACAAAACCCAATTCTCATTCTCACTTTTTAGTTAGCTGAATTCTCTCTGTGCTCAAGTTGCGGTCCACGCTGGGGGATTGAGGAGTATTGACATCAGCCTCAGTGCTATGCAGACAAAGGTAGCTTTTAGCACATTAGAGTCTAGACTTCACATTGTTATAAGAAAGCACAGACACAGACAGTGTCTGGACTGAAAGATTAAAAAGAAGGTTATAGTGGATAAAGTTTTAATGCTAAAGTGACAGGCTAACCTTTGAACAACTACACATTCAAGTGCAGTGCCTTGCTCATTATCTATACGCTGTCCAGGGGGAGCTCTGCAGAAGAGAAGAATGGCAAAGAATACATAACAAAGGATCAAAGAACAATAAAAATACAAAACAGAAGCAATAATTAGAGCCTGATAGAAATTCATTGTCACCAAGCTGTGGTAAAACGTCACTTCCTTCATCGGGTCTTAAAAGAAGCATTTTCTAAATTAACACCGGTGACATCAACGGGCATCCAGTTTAAATGAGTTTATTTAACATTAAGTGTTAAATAAAGTACAATGATTACTGTCAATGATGTGGCCCTTTTTAACTTTTAATATTCATTCATTTTTATATGTTAAGTTGGAGGCACTGAAGGGGATTTAACTACCTGTAACACAAATACATTCACATACTTTCTGGTAAGCAAGTAAGCTGAAACATGCAGTATGTTAAAAGTAAGACAGACCTAGTTTCTTGTCCCTCTCCTGTCTTTTGGAGGCAAGTCAGTAGGTACATTATAAACCCAGAAACACTGGCTTCACTGTGCTGCTGCCTGAACAAAAAGAAGCATAAAAAAGTTATTAATCTTTGCAAAACATTATATAAGTTAATCTGTAACATGGAAATAATAATTTGATTTTTTTCAGGCCATAGAACTCACTCCAGATGTGCTTTCCAGTTGTGGAGAAGAAGACCAATCCCAATTATGATTATGATTATCCCTAGAATGGCTGGGAAAATATAATCTGTATTAACACAAAACACTTGAGTTATAATTCATTCACATCCATTTATGGTAGTAACAACAGCGATGCAATAAAGCAATAAAATGAGCACACGGGATCCACTCACAGATGAGGGTCGGCAACGCCTGTGACTCGTTGGGATCGGTCTTAATTGGAGCTGTGACATCAGCTTAAGAAAAGGAGATGATTGATTTGTGCAGTATATTATGTAAACATGAGGCATATTTTTTTTTAAATTTGAAAACATTTATTAATGTATTCTAGTATAAAAATAGGTTGCCTTACCAATAATTTTGAAATAGGTACAGTGTTCTTTGACAACAGGCTTTCCCTAAAAAGAGAAACAGAGGAACGAGTTAACATTTTAGATTTACCCCTAGACAGGACTTTCTCTGATTTAATTCATACAAGTACCTTCCACAATCCATCAGGAACTATGCTTTGAATTGTGATGTCTCTGCACTTCACTGTCGTCACTGAGTTGTTGTCCATGTGCACAACTTCAGATGACAACCTAATGGAGGGTGGATTCCGCAGTTCAGCATGGCCAATACTTGTCTGTTGGGAAAAGAAAAAGAAATAAACGTCAAAGGTGGAAAGTAACAAAGTACAAATACTTTGTAACAAAGTAACAAAGTACAAAATACTTATTACTTATATTATACTGTTACAATTTTCAAGTATACTTTGTGTATTCATTTTTCTGACCCCTTTTTACTTTTACTCATTACATTTTAACACAAACATCTGTACTGTCCACTCCAAACATTTTCAAAACAGGCTTGTTACTTTACGCGTAACACATTTGAGGGAAATTTTTGTTCCCCAGCACTGCACACCCACAATCATTAAACCAGTCTGATGGGGAAAAGACAATCGTATTGGTGTAGCTATCACACAGGGATTTGGGGAAGAAATATATGCAATTTATGCATCATTTATAAATCTACTGGACCTTAAATTAAAAATGTTGTGATTCTTTTCTCCTCACTGCGCCACTACAAGCGATTTTAGGGTTCCCCCATCTCCCGAATCCCACTGTAATCCCCGACTATAGTCACTGTTCTGTTTATGTATGGAGGCAAAATAAAAAGAAAAAAAGTTTGCATTCACATGTACTAATATTTATTTATTTATGTATTTATTTATTTATTATTCAAAGACCTGCGTTTTATTTTCTTACTATGAGTACATTTGACACTTATATTACGTATTTAACACAGATCTGTGTATTTCTACAAAACCAAATAATATCTGTACTTTTGCCCCCGCTGATGAAAGTTTCGCTGCCTTTGTACGTAAAGTAGTGGTTTACACATTCACTTCGCAAGCTTGGGGGCTCGGCAAATCAAATAGATCTACCTGTTGTGGTGTAAAAGGGAGAAGCCTAAAGTGCTTTCACTTAAAGTCTGAAAGAGGCCAACCTACCCCGTTGTCGTAGACATAAATCTTACTTCCCTCGGGAAGTGATCCATGTTTGAACGTGAATCCAGCGAGGGTTTTAATGTCGGCACAAGAAGCATTTATCTGATGACATGCTGCGAGACAGTAATTAGGGAACCGTAAAGTTAATTGTATTTTAAAGTTAAGCAAGAAGAAAAGGAAAAGCAAACGGAAACATTAAGTAAAGAACCAGGAAACGATGACGCAGATGTTGCGAGAAGAAAAAAAGAGTGAAAATAAGATATTGGTTATAAAGAAATACGTATTTACAATGCTGCATCACTTACCTAATGATTTCCCGGTGAAGAATAGAATTGGGAAAATCAGGCAGCTTCTAGTAAGCATTTTTCGAAGACAACCGAACCTAAAGCAGGAAGTTCGTAAAAGGAAATTTGAAAGCTCAAAATCGAAATTTAACCAAGGACAACTATTTTTAGAGTTAATCGCTGGCGGTTCCTTAAAATACACACAAAAATTTATAAAGGCCAGACGGGGCTTTTTGTATATTAGACACGTACCTTCAAAAAAATCTTCTCGATCGCTTTGTGTAAAAAAAAGGAAGTTCTAATCGACCGGTCGTCCACTTTTACACTTCGAACAAGACTGTAGGCCAACTTTAAACCACAGTACAAGTTGCCATCAAGTGCGAGATTTACCAAGACTCTGTCCCCACTGACTTCAAGACAAGGAAGCTCCTTCTCTGAGACAGCATGCAAAGCGGAAGTAAGATTGCCGAGGACTAGTGAGTGTCAGAACCATTATCCAGGATGAAACAACAAAGATCTGTGAGTGTATCAGGAAGATGGCCACAACTGATCATGCGTTTAGTGAATACCTCAAACAGCAGAAACCTGGAAAAATAAGGAACAGGAAGTGGAACCATCATGGGTGGACAGGCCCCTGTATTGCGTCACCATTCGAGAAATCCTACGAATGGCACGAGAAAGCTGAACTGAAAGACAGCACGGACACGCTAATCATGGCAGCATAGGAACAACCTCTACAGGCCGTAATGATATATGTAGCCAGACCAGAGATAGAAACATCAAAAAGGAGGAACAAAAGGAGCTAGGGAAATACCAAGGGCTGAGAGAGAACTAGACAAGATGTGGAACATGAAAGCAACAGTGACCCCAAAATAAGAAAGTGCTCATGGTCATGGTATTGAGATTTCCAAAAAAAAACAAAAAAACAGGGGGATTTGTGTTTCTAAATATATGCAGTGATTGAGGGGTCTAAGGGTCTTCTTCTGTGTCTGAGTGTAAAGTCAAACAACTTATAGTTCAGCTAAAGGTGTTAAAGCGTTTTTTTATGTACGTATGGTTATTTTTGAAACTTTTTAGCTCTTACTAACCTAAAGTATCTGTAGTATCTGAGTCATTATTCATTGGTGAAAGTGGTAGCATTCAGTAAATAGAAGGACATAATATCCCAGCTTGAAATTTGATCTCTTTGGGACCATATTGGAACTTATTCCAGCCCAGAGGTGACCTGAAACCCTGGGCTGAAAAACAAAAAAATCTAAACAAAACAAAAACAGACCAGCAAGACAAACTGCATTACTTGGTGAAAAGGTTGTGTGTGGTTAAAAAAAGAACCTTGTAATTTATGTTGCAGATCACTTTCCTTGAAACTGTGAAATATATAGTCTCAGTGGAAGATGCACTCTCTGAGTGCCCTTCTCATTTGTAGTTTTGCACACTAAACACAAGGGGAGGCCCTAGCCATGTGGGTCAGACACACTGAACAGCCTGTCATGAAGTGACATGAAATCACCACAGAGGGTTACCTTCATTATAAACAAAGCTGAAAAACATAAGACATCAAACATAATTGCTTACATGTTGTAAGTCAGTATGAGTTCTGTATTTTAGCAGGATGCTTTTACCATACAAACGGATACATTTGAAAAATTCGTGGCTAAAGTTATCCTAGTGTAATCTTTGGAAATTGTTAGTGGATGGAGTCCTCCCAACATATTGGAACCATGAGACAACAGAGGCCTCAAAAAGGCCCCTGTCATTTCACTTTCATGCAAACACACAGAGACACGGTGCAAAGATAAAGCAGAGGCCGCCATGGTGCAGCATGCTTCATTTGCACTGCATCTTCTCTGGTCCACCGAGAAAACACAGACTATATTCTGTGTCACTCGATACGGGCCCCTCTCTCTTTCTCTCCTACCAGATCTGTCATCTTCTACCATCTCCTAACCTCTCTTTCACCCTGCTCCGTTTATTACACGGCAATAATTCGCCAGCATATTCTAGCAAATTTCAAAAGCACTGTGGAGTTTTCACCTTAAACATAATTATGACATTGGCTTCAGTGTGGAAAAATCTAAAGTGACAGTGAAGATGAAGAAATTTGCTTATTAGCCAGTTTGGCGTAACTAACTAGCTTAACTCTGCATCACTCTTCATCACCTCTTGACTACATCCTTAATGAATAAAGATGACAGCATCATAGCGGGCATGAATGAAAGAGTAAATGAACTTGGCTCAGCTCCCTTTGGGGGGAAATGTGTAGAAGCGAACTTGTCCAATCATCTGATCCATTTCCCGTAAATATCAAGTGACAGTGGGAGGGGTTGGATATTCTGCTGTCCCTCTATATCCATGGAGCCTCTGCATAAACACAGCAGAGCAGAGATGACGCAGGACAGCCTGCAAACGCACACAAAGCTACAAACATGGCCATATGACACGGGTTTGCTCTTACAAACATCATGCATCTAGGTCTGACATCTCACTGAATAGATTCCAGACAGTTAAAATGGGATTTTTAGTGTGAATCAGTGATTACAGTACTGCTGCTTGAGTCATCTGACTGCCCGTCTGAACTTTTCCCTTCTTGCTCCGTTCATAAAAGCCGTGATGAGAGATAAACAGCTTTCATCTTGCTGCATAAACTAAATGCCATCTCTTCTGTTAAGGGCAGTTCTGTTTTGCCTCTTTTTAGCAGACTGTTTTCAAGAGCAAAAGAAAAGGTGCAAATCAGCCTAATTAAAATGCAGTTTATTATTCTAGACCTCGGGTTAAAACAAAATCTGAGCACACTATGGGGTGTGTGAATTGTGGAGTCAAAGCTGAGGCAAAGCGACATCCCAAGAATCCTGAGTAGGTCTGAAACAATAGCGCTGGCTGCTCAGTACCCCACTTGTGTTTGCATAGCTCCACAACGGTTTTAAAATACCCCCACGGTAAACCGAAACAGTATATACTATATAGACTAAGAGTAACTGCTTTTAAGACAACAATATCATGTTCGCAATCTTACTAGTTATATTAGCCAATCATAGTTTAAGATCACAGACATCTACATGGCATTTTCCATTTTCCTGGGTTTAAAAGGGAAAGCAAAGAGTCAGCAGGGGTGTATTCACATAAAATGGCAAAAAGTATCATCTCTTATTCTCAGTGCAAGACCAAAGGAGAGCAAAGTTTGGAGAACTAGCATGTTGCGCTGGGATTGCTGCAAAACTTTAGTCTGTCCATTTGGCTCAGTGTGAAGCCTGAAACCCCCACTGGGACAGGTTTGATATCACAGAAGGAAATCTGCACACTGCCAGCACACCAAACACCTCAACATCAACACATACTCCCCTACAGAGAAATATGTGCACAAATATGACATCCATCTCGTTATTTACAGTGTAGTTATGTATCACTGTGCTCTGTAATACACAAGCATGCAACGAGGTTACATAATGGCACTTCAAAAACCAACAAATGAACAATTATCTAAAGTAAATTTGCAAATCTAAACAAATATTCTTCACATGTGAAAGGAATGAAGCTGTCACTGGAATATATGACTACGCTTAATCACACGGCCTCACACAACGTTCTGCACACCCAAACCCACTTTCTACAATGTGCGCATATTAAAGCCCCTTCCACAGTCAGCCAAAACCACAGCTCCCCTTTGCAGAGTTTGGTAAGATCAGGCACAGCAACCTGATCCTACTGAGAAAGTCTTATAAAAGGAAGCAAATAAAATGATCCAATAAAAAGCACCTCTCCTCCACACTGCCAAACCTCATATATCTGGCAGATGTTTGCTTACATTTAAATCTCAGCCTGAGGGCCTATCAGTATTCTAATACAAAAGCTTAGTGGACCTGCGTTAGGCTATGCCACGCAAAACAGTCGCAGCACAGCATGCTATGATGATGCACAGCAGCTTTTGTTCACATGGTGCTGAAGCACATGTTGCGCAACTTGGACAGGCTCTATAACTGCAATATGTTTTCCAGCCAAATCTCCTGAGAGGGATCGCTGTCAGAAAACAAACCCCTGTTTGAGGCATGGCCTCCAGTTGAAGTTGTTCAACTCCTGCTTTTCTCTGTGTACTTCTCTCCCATCCTTATTCTGTGTATTCTTCTCCGCTTTCCCTCTCAATCCACTCACTCGATCTAGTGTCGACTCTTTGCTCTCCTTCTCCCCTGTGTTTCTTTTTTCTGCGCTCTTCATTTCCCCCCCTTGTGATTCGCTGCTGGGGTAACTCAGGATTCTTAGTATTTGGCTGGGCAAACCCAGGGCAAGCGTGTCTTGTTACAGCAATCGAGGCTTTCTGATAAAGCTGTGCATTGTGAAGGATAATCCCTCAGAAACAATCAGGATTTTTATATCCTGCCCTCTGTTGTTTCTGTAGCCTCTCTCTCACACACACACACACACACACACACACACACA